TCCTGAGACTCCGCATTGCACACCAGCAGAGCTCCAAGGTCATATTAAAGACCTCAAGGTGCGTAAAGCACCTGGAGAGGATCGAATCACTAATAAGGCGCTGAAGCTACTTTCGCGGAAGTCCTTAACTTATCTCGTATCAATAATCAATGCCATGCTAAGGACCCAGCACTTCCCAACGGCGTGGAAGACCGCTGATGTCATAATGATTCCAAAGAAGGTGGGTTCGATATTCCCCCAGGATTACCGCCCCATTAGTCTACTATCAGCTCCTTCTAAACTCGCTGAGAAGGTGAGTCTACGTCACCTTGAACATTTCTCGGCAGACCACAATGTGATTCCTGACGTGCAATTTGGCTTTCGGTCTGAGCATAGTACGGAGCTACAGGCCATAAGGCTTGTTGAACGAGTAACCAGGGGGTTCACCCGTAACGAAAGTACTGGCATCTTGCTACTGGATGTCTCAAAGGCATTTGACAAGGTGTGGCACAAGGGCCTTTTCTACAAATTGATCCATAAGGGCTTCCCCTTCTGGCTCCTAAAACTTTTGAAATCCTTTCTCGAGGGTAGGAAATTTCGGATCAAAATTAATAACGTTCTGTCGACAACACGGCCCATCAAAGCCGGTGTCCCTCAGGGTTCGGTTCTTGGACCAGTCCTTTATTCACTTTTTATTCATGACGTCCCTTGCCCCAGCAGCTGCGAAACCTATCTCTATGCTGATGACACTGCCCTGGTGGCCCAGTCGTGCTCTGGGGATCTAGTTCACGACAGGCTACAAAGTGCAGTGGACGAGGTATTGGAATGGGCGAATCGGTGGCTGATCAAAATTAACATTCGAAAACGCAGGCAATCTATTGTACTAAAAAACGTAGCGGCGCCCCGTCTGAGGTTTCAGTGAATGGAGCTCGGGTGCCATGGGAAAGCTCTGCTAAGTATCTCGGTGTCACTCTTGACAAGGGGATAACCTGGCAGAAGCACACTGAAGCGTTAAAAACTAAATTCCAAATCTCTTTTCGGCAACTCTACCCTATGCTATGTAGAACATCAAAATTAAGTTTGATCAACAAAGTTCGGCTACACAAGATGGTTATTAGACCAGCGATCACTTACGCAAGTGCGGCTTGGTGTTTTCTCTCCAAAATGCATTTGCGTGGCCTGCAGGTTTTGCAGAACAGAACCTTGCGTACAATCACTAACGCCCCATCGTATGTTTCCAAAGATACCCTTCACAGAGACCTTGACATCCCTTGCCTAAGGGACTACATCAAACAACAAGCGCAGCTACGTTACAGTCAAGCAGAATCGCATAACAACACTTTGTTGCACGAGTCAGTAGACTACACAGTCGAGCAAGTTCGCAAGCACACAAGGCCGCGACTCGCACTGTGAACAAAATTAAATCGTGCGACTTTAGGTCCAACCAAAATTATAATTTTTCTTCAACAACCAATCCCAAAATTAATTTTAGGATCAATTTAAAATTGCCGAATACTAACTAGCAATGCCAAGGCACCCCTCACATGGATGCACTTCTTTTTCTTTGCTCTCCCTCCTTCCTTCCGTCCTTTCTTCTTCCCTTCTTTCTCCCTGACTTTGTTTGGTATCTGGGCAACCAGACCTGACAGACCTACTGACTTACAAGACTTCAACCAAGAGCAAAGGTCCTACGGACCGCTCTGACAGACAATGACGAATAGTAGGGTACAATGATTATCCCATTTAGAATCTCGGTCCACATGTTTACTCTAAGACGATACTGTGATCAATCTTGTCTCATCAAATGTGGATTTTCTACATGCCACTCGTGTAAGTTGTGTACAGATTCATGTAAATGTCGACTCAGCGGTCCGTAAAATTTTCTATAAAAATCGCGGATCTTTGGAAGATAATCCCGGGGTTGTAGAGGTTTTGTACTCGATGTACGTGGTACAGATGGAGCTCGTTCTTGCGCAAGATTCGTTGGGCTGTACTTTTAGGCACTCCCGTGCTTGCTTATATTTGACATACTGAAGTACACGGGTCTTCGTCGACTGCTTGTAATACGACGTCGTCGTGAGGAAAGGAAGTTCTTCCTTCATCATGTGCTTGATTTGGGAATCGTCCCTCAGAGTGTTAACGGCACACATTCACAAAAACTTGCTGATCGGGATGTCGAGCTACATTTGGGTACTTCTCACGATAAAGCTCAGCTGCAGCATTAGCATTGAATCTACATTCCCCATAAATGAGGTGCATCATGGCGTATTCCTGTATGGTGTACACAGATGCGGTGCCACTACACAAACCTGAATTAATAAAAGTGGCGTTACTATACAGGGTGGCCCAACGAAAATGTCGCGCCCCCCCTTTATGACCCACCTGGTATATTTTGGGAAAAACGCTCGGACACGTCAATTTTGATTTCTAGAGGGACGTCTTTTCGTCTATGGCCGTACAATACAGGGTGATCCAAAAATAAGATATTGTGTTACCCTTCAGATTTTTAAATGGAAACATCCATTTTTTTTCAATTTTTAGATTTTCCATGGAGGTTTTAGTAACTTTTGGATGAACGGTGGTGTGTGGGTCAAATGTAACTCTTCCTCGATCGTTCTGACTGTCACCGACGCTACGATCTGAACGCACAAGATCCCGGATTCTGACGATATTTTCATAGTTTTTGAAGATGAAGACCTTCCGCTTTGTGGTTCATCTTTAATCGACTGGAAATGCCTTATCCCAAAATCTGGGCTCTTGACAAAACACTATCTCCGTAGGGCCGTTAAGCAAGTGTTTTCGTTGTAATGTACCCAAGTCTAAATCTTAACCTGATAGCGCACCATTGCTTGGAGTCCTTGAAGTTGATGTCATTTATTTTTAGAACACAATAGAAAAAACTGTTCCACCGAAAAAACCGCTACAGACAACCAAATGACTCCAGCGAGTTCAAACTTGTACTGAAGGCGGATCACATATTCCCCTGTCTCCCCTCCAAGTCCGGCGACTCCAGTGTTGCCAGATCGAACGCTACTTTATCAGTCTCATCACTTAATTTACAGACCTCGTATTTAGGAATTTGCTTGACCGCTACAGATTTGATCATTGTCCATGATATTGCGGAAAACCAGTGGCGCACTGAAATATCTACCAGTACTTTGATATGTCTTAAACCTCGCAGCGTTATTTGCTATGACTGATTCCAATCCAAGATTTACTCCAAATAGACTAAGTATATTATGAGGCATTTTCGAAAAAGTTCAAGAAATGCACCTTTTTGGCGATTTGGAGAGACCTGAGGGTTCTAATTGGTGAATAAAAAAATCGGATAAAAATGGAGTAACAAGATCCAGGAGTATTATTCTTTTATCTTCTCAGATGTTTCTTGGCAGGACGAAGTACTTTTTTACATGACGGAGTAATGAAATGGATGATTTTGAAATGTCGGATAAAAATTAACAAACATTCCTACAAGAAATGATTCATCCTATCAAAATCTACGTGAAAAAAATTGCCAAAAATATACCATTCGCGTTCACCTGACATATTGGCATGTGACTTTTCTTTGTCGGGCTACTAAGAGCAGTATTTATAAGCAAACATTGAGAGTAATCAGCTATACCGCAGCATGTACTACTATTCATCGTGGTTGCTAATTGCCCAGAAATAACACAGTGTGAAGAAAAAAAAGGAGGAATGACAAAAAAGATAAATGATTTTGTTTGAGAGGAAATATCTAGATATTATTACTTGATACACACAGATTCATTTTGTAGTGCACTAACGATAAAGTTCACGCAGCACATGTTACGGGACACATCGGAAAGTTTTCTGTGACTGGGGGGTCAATTCTTAAAATGAGTGAGTAGAATAACTGGGAGAAACTGGGCTTCTTTTAACTCTTGGGGAACTGTATTCCTGAAAACTCGCTCCTCGCGTCATTCTCAGTGATAAACGTTAAGTGATGCGAATAATACTAGCAACGTTTGTTTTCCAGAAAATTCAATTAAACTTATTTGATGAACGTCAACAGCAGTCAGAACTAGGCTAGGGATTCATGAAGTCAAGTAGCTTAATATTTTTATAAACTTCTTGACTCCAAAATAAAATTCTTGGAAAGTTAATGTTTGGCTTGATTTTTCTTTAATATTTCACTTGAATTAGGGTCAAGCATTTTCAAACTACTTCATACTTGATGGCAAATTATATTATTTTTCTTCTACTGAAGGCCTTCAGCGATATTAACTTGTAGTTTTAATGGCAAGAGATTTTTATCGACTCATTCATCACCAACTTGACTGCTTGAATTTGAATTGAATAAGTTTATATATACATATACCTATATATTTATAACTCATTCCATCAAAATTAAAATTCAAGCAGTCAAGTTAATCATATATATATAATAAAAAGTAGGAAAATAATTGCTAAAATCCGCAAAAAGGAGGAAAGTGGATTCGAACAGAAAATAGGAAGGTAACCCGAGTGATACGTATTTCTGCTGGTTGGCTTCATCAGGCCCGAAATGAATGCACATATGAAACTACAAAAGTAGAAACACATGCCCACACATCCGGATACGGGTGTAACCTAAGGAAACGAATATGGAGTGGGAAAAAAACGACACACGGAGTCCACAACAAAAGCCAACCTACACATTGTAGTATAAATGGCTAGAAGACCTCGAATTTTTAAGGAGACATCTAACCACAACCACGCGGCCGATTATAGCCACTTACTGTGGTACTTGAAGCCCAAAGGATCTACAAGGATCTTCTTCTCTTTCCTCCTTTATTGCGGATTTTGCACATTATTTTCCCACTTTTTATTATATACCTTTCTCCGCATGATCTTTTTTCTCTTATATATATCTTTGAGTGAGAATTTTTGCGTTATACCATTGGTCAACATATTCTGGTTATACACGGACCAACACAAAACATAAATCAAAATGCAAAATCATGATACAAAATATTTATTGGATTCATATTTTTAAAGATAAAAAATCAGTTAAAACTTAACACTCTGATGTATTGCAACTAATTTTATAGATGTGCGATAGATAGGCATATAGAAATATTAGATAGGGCGTGATTATACTTAAAAATGAATGTGAAATCACCTTCTTTTCATCAATCACAACATACCTTTGCACATAAAATTCACAGGCCTCAAGCAAAGGAAAAAATTATTAATAAGAGTTACATTTAACTTTTCGATCTTCTTTGAATTCAGGAACAACGTAAAGATTCATCTGTGTTGTTTCTAGTTTCAAATGAAGGTCAATATTTCTATCAGGTAAAATAATAGACAAAAAATCGTAATGCTGATTCAATCACAGAGCATTATCTGAAATTCACATCTTGTTAAATAGTCCTTTGATTTGTTATGAAAGTAATAAAGATCACCAACTATACATCGATTTAGAATTTAGAATCAGTGAGAAGTGACGTCCAAAATATTGTTAATCCGATAGGTTATTTCTTGTTTATCATGTTGGACTATTCTACATAAATGTGAAACTATATTATGATGAAATAAAAAATATCACGTAAATAGCGGACAGGTCAAAACTTCCGTTTGATCAGAAATGTCCGTATGTTAGCAGTTTTCTTGTCAGCTAAAGCATTAATCTGCCTTCAGCACTTTTAAAATGTGGATATTTTCCGATTCGGGAAATTTCACCCGCCTTCATAACACATATTTAAAAAAATGAGATCCGAAGTTTTATAAATTCATCCACAGTTGTATAGTTTGGAAGTAAATGTTACAACCCTTTTCTTGCAATTATCCCAAAAAAAGTTGATAAACCATTTTTTGACATTCTATAAAACCTCTGCAGTTCTAAAGTATGCCCTTCCTACTACATGAACAAGTGTTTAGAGATTATTCCGCCATATCTTAATCTTAATAATGACATGCACTAGAAAGCGATGAGAATGATAACATAAACGTTGATTGACAATGAAGTACCTAAAACCCTGTTCCGCTATATGCATACTATTTGTTGTTATTAGGAAATGGCAAAATAAAACCCTTAACAATTACAAAAATCAACAGCCCATATATTTTCATTGAAATTTACCATATTGTTGCAGGATGGTCATCACATCAAATTATTAACAGAAATTTACAACTTTACAGAGTTTGATGATCCTATACAAGGATTCAGATAGTGTCCAAATTTTTCCTGCTTATCTCTATTATAACATTTAGCATCGAGCAGAAGTTTGTACCCTTGGTCCGCGATTTAGATACCACACCACAAATAAAAAATTTCAGGATAGCATAACTATACGTAGCCTCGAAAAAATAGTCCTATTAAAGATACTTTAGGCATGCTACTCTTGTACTCGTAGTAAGACCACTCTGTTGTTATGAATGATGTGACGATCTCCTGCATAAACATACGCAAATTTCTATATGACTATATTTAAAGATATCACAAATATTTATAAACATATTACCTCAAAACTGCACCAGGCTCCATTATACTGAAAAAATACTTACAGTATATCACTGGTTTTTATATTACTCATTTCAAAGACAGATATACAACCACCTCATACAATGTGATCCTTCAACAATTAAAAAGCAAATGAATCAAGTCTAGTTTAAGCTGAGTCTTCACCTAAGAGTTCAGAGTAGTACATTTTACTGAGCATGAAATCTGTGCTGCTATCATAAGGTATATTAAAGGTACCTATGGGTGAAACATCATCAAGATTTTTTAAGGATTTCTGTTAAATTTCCATTTAATCAGATACCTAGAGTCTAGGGAATCTTACAAACAAACACAAATGATAAAATATTAGATAAAAACAATATTCTTGTCATACTGAACCCAGAACACAGTAGACATGCCTTATCAGGTTCTCCAAAAACCAGTATCTTTTACTTATTCAACTCACAATGGCGTGTTTCATAGTGAACTAAAACGCGTTGGACCAAGTTAGTGCTGTTGATGCATGAGTTGGAAGACCAAGACCAAGAATTTTTGGGGGGAAATCCTTGTTAAGATTCTGACAACACCTCTTTGATAGTTCTAAGTCGAAGACTCAGCAAAGTTTACAGTTTTGATAAGTGTTTTCATTTCTACGCTCGAATATTGAATACTATGCTATGAAATACGTTTAGCCATGTTTTTTTATGTTTCAACGTATATTTTGATCAATAGCGCATCAATATTATTGTACAAAATATGTCAAATAATACTAGATATGTGGAGATAACATATACGTTCATGCTTATTGAGTAAAAGGTCCAAAATTATCTCAGTATTTTGCTTAAAAAAATGAAACGAGCTATGAGTAAAATAAATTTAAATTGAGAATTTTCAGATGAAAACATATGTATGTTAAATCGAGTATTGTCCTATTGCAAATGACATCTTCAGAGTTTGACCACTTTTTCACTATTACACAATTGTAAAAGTGAGGGGTAAATATAACTCTGGGTTAGTTTAGTTAGAACATGATATAAATCTGAACTAATCAATTGAAGCAATACCAATCACTACACATGTTTCCAAAACATGTTGCTCCATCTACCTTGGAAATATGTACCCCTTCAACGTGAGGAACTAAATCTGGATTCAATATTCGATGCTCGAATTAGTTTTAGTATGGTAGATCCCCAATATACTCTCATCATAGTCTTGTACTGTGTTAGAAAATAATCACTCAGGTACAAAAAATGAGGGTATGCTACAAAAGTATGTAGTATCTAGAATCTTAAAAATATTTAAAAATGCAGTGGTCTGTACTTTTTAAAACTTAATGCATATGCTGAATCTTGTGTTAGTAGCGTGTTCATTATTTTATACAAAAATGGGCATACTTTCAAGATTACATAAAAAATTATTCTTATATTAATGTATTTGCACTATGTAATAAAAAATTAAATGTTTCACAATCATGCAAAATATAGAGATTTGTGGACGCTTGATTTGAATTTTTAGGTTCAAGCTCAACATGTATCTAAATTCCAATCACTTTTCCATTTTGATGTTCATAATTTCGTAGTTTTGGGTGGGTTTTATTCAACATTAATGTGTGCTATTTGGAACTTAATATTGTTTTATACCCTTCTCAAGCACTATAGTTCCTCACCTATGGAATGCAGATTTCTATTTATACAAAATGCCCCGTTTGGATTGAATAACCACTATAGTTTTATGAAAATTTCTGATTTGTCTGTCTTGCATTTAGATGATTGGGTCGCAATTCTAAAGGTGAATCAACCTTACGAACAGCTCACCCTCATTGCAGTTTTTTAAAACTATTTCAGTATTGGTATAAATTCAAATCAAGATTTCCAATTCTCAACCATCTACAAAAACACGGTCCCGCTAACACCTAAGTTTATGCACTTAACATCACAAAAACACACAATATAACTCTTCCCGCTTCACTTGTTCATATTATTATAAAACACTCACTTGTCACACATTATAAAAAGTAGTCTTTGGAAATTTGTTAAAATGTCTCTAGTGATTCTACTGACACTTCTTCTATTATCCCCATATAGCACTTTTACTCGTTCAGTATTTGTTATTTGACATTTATATTGTTTTGATTAGTGTATTGGTTAGTAGGTTTGTTTGAAATCTGATATTCTATTTTACAGATTTAAAAAATTGTTATCTAAGCTGTGGTATAACTAGGAGCCAGAAAAATTATTTTTTTATCATTTCCCGATTTCGGATTTGCCTTTAACGACAAACAACGAATGATTATTATTGGAGCATTATATATTTTTATTCAAAATACAGGCAGTATTTTCAGGCAGATTTACATTTAATTTTTAACAATAGAATTACGGCATTCTTAAAAATACATCAGTACAGACTTCTAAAATTTGTATGAAGATTTTACTTCTCTACAGCTAAGTATTTATATTATTAGTTATTTTTACATTGAAATACCTGAAATTGAGTTATGTTATTACTGAAAAAGCTGCTTATCTGACAAATGCTTAGTCGCTCCTGATCATAAAGTTTAATAGAATCATATTTGTGTTTCAAATGATCCAAATGTATGAATCATCAATGTTCGATTTCTGCAAAAATATGGTTAGGAAAGATCAAAAATGTTTACTATATTCTTCTTTCCTCATTTGAAAAATAAAGGACAGCTCGCTTTTGGTGATTACCCAAAAAGATTGGTACAGCCGAGTTCAATCAAAAAAGATTTTTAGTGGGCCCGTCCATCTTTTTTCGTTTATGCAGCTGGAAGAGAATATCCAGTTAAATTTTTGATAAAATAAGCTTTAGCGGCGGTAACTCGTTGAAACGTGCTGTTGTCATTATTATCTTTTGTCTTTCGTTGTTATGCTTCTCAACCGGCCCAAAAGACATCTTTATGGAGCCTAACTTTAACGTATCCAGAGATATACATATGTATATAAAATAAATTCTAAATTAGGTCTATAGCTCGTATTAGCATATTGGCATAGACTGAGGGGTGGTTAGGTTCTGGCCCTGACTATCTACGCCCGCAGTTGTGACTACCAATCAGATACCTATGGGTCCCCTTCGTTGAACTGAATTTATATATGCGCCACTGATAGCTACCGATATCGCAACAGTTTACTCGTTAACAAGTTTACTGAAGTGTATTCAAATCTCATTCTCTCATCGTGAAATCGAACACTAACATTCAAATTCGCGAACTCTTATTGGCCAATGGGCCAAAAAATAATAATGACATCATCAAATAATGGGAGATGGCGCGGTAACAGAAGTATATGTTTCTGATATTTAAAACGTGCGAACGCTATTTTTACTACTTAGGGCGAGGAATACCGAATGTCTTTCTGTAGACTTGCAAAAATCAATTTTTGTGAACGAGCCCAATTACAGTAATTTCAGAATGATATACTGGGAGGTTATATGTTCTCGTTAGTCAAATAAGCAACCAATCGAGTACGGTACCGTTCCATCCCTGTTAGGAATCACCAGTACGTTTATGAACCTCGAATGAGAGGTTTTTACTATTGTTTCAAAGCACAATTTACTTATATAGCTCGCATCTTTAATTTTCGTAAGATTATGTGATTTCGATTCCCTTTTTTTTCAACTTTTTTTGTACTGAGATTATGGAAAATTCGATTTACTGCCTGACTAGACGTACCAAACACACCCGCGTTGTTTTTGATGGACATGTTCTTTTCTACATAAACAGTGAATCCAAGTTGTAGTCACAATTGTGACAACATGTTTACTGACCCCCCGAAATGTAAACTATCGTACCCCAATTCCGAGACTTATTTTATCAGGTCCTCTGAAGTACTCCGTATGGACTTCGAAGGTTCCAAAATCGGTCAGTAGCGATCCATGGCTTCTGTCTTTGTGTGTACTCCAAAGTATAGACAATGTCCTACGATGGGTCAGAAGACGTGGATGGCTGCTGATGGTCCAACTCTTGGCAACAAAGGGACGGCATGCTACCGGCCAGCGGTGCTGCCTTACAGGGCAACCTTTGGGAATCTGTTGGCTGCCCTGACTCCTCCCCTCACCAACAGAACACGCTGAGCTCCCCAGCGTGGTCGCCGGTGTGTCTCCAGGCTGTCACTCCTCCTCCGGAACCAATTGTGTTGCTACTACGGCTTTTCAGCTGGAACAATAAAAAATGAGTTAAGCGAATTATCTCAGTACGATTTCATATTTTTGGTATACGAAAATTGTAAAGGACTGTTCTCATCGAAAGCAACTGGTGACCGCAACCGTCAAAATGTCAACTTTCTGACTAGATAGCTGTGAGCGTTACCTTAGCGTCATCTATGGAGGAATCACCCAATGACATGCCAGTGTGCTTTGTTGGCTGCAGAATGCCGAGATAGTCGTAGAGCATGTATCTCTGAGAAGATGTGAGAATATTATTATACCGTGAAGTATATTAGCTGTTATTTGTGTTGTCCTTTCTGAAGAAAGGTTATGTTCAAAGTTATGAATTACAAGTTTCCCCAGTGTTTTGCGTTTTCAAAAATTTTGAGAAGCATTATGAGAAATCAGCACTGCGGTCACGTTGTGTGTGTAATCAAGTCACATCACACAAAAATAGGAATGACGCAGAGAAGAATTACGAGAAATCACCTCTGCGGCCGCGTTGTGTGTAATCAAGTCACGTATACGTATATTTGTAGACGGTATTCCAATGTTTGTATCCCAATATCATAGATCTCCACTGTCAACCCATTGAGGAAACGTTTACCTCCTCTTTGGCTTCATCATCGCTCGGAAAATATTGGCCACTCAACTGTTCCTTTAACGTCACATGTCCTTTTTTTCAACAGCCCGTTTGAAGGAATATGCTTAATACTTTTCGTGGTGTGTGTATATAACGATGACTGAAAAACTATGTTATTAGTTTCTTTTTTGTCAAAAATGCATTTTTGCAGTTTTTTCAATCGAAACTTGATAAATAATAGTATATATCTAAAATGTGATGCGAATATTCCACTTTTATGGAAGAATTAGGCATGTGGTTACTTTTTTCTTATAAATTTCTCTTAAAAAAAATGCTTTTGTTGAAAACTGTGCTGTAAAATAAGGTGTCAAGAAAATCAAAGATTTTTCGAAGAGTAAAATGATAGAATAACTGTAATCTCCCGCTCAATTCTACTATAAAATGGCATTTTGTCATACAATTTCAGAGCTGTACTAATATTATTTGTTAACAAGTTATCATGGAAGGAAAAATGCATTTTTTGACAAATTGAAAACATTGTTTTTTAATAATCCCTATACAAACCATGAAATCAGATTAAAAGGATTTAGATGCTGCTCGACAGTTGAAAAGAAAGGGATGGACCTTAACTTTAATTTTTTAAATTTAGAAAAATTTTGCAAACTAATTTAAAGTTGAGTGGCCAAAACTTTCGGCATGGTTATTACGTAAAAAACCTATATAATGTCAAAAAACCTATAAAACTTGTTGACTAAGTAGGCGATTGTGTTCATTCCGCGCTTGCTACAAGTGAACATGAATGTTCGACAGTTAGTTACAAGTTGACGTCTTGTTGGAAAACCTACATAATGTCAAGTAATTAGATGACGTAAAACGTTTCCTAAATGGGTTGGTAGAGGAGCTCTATGGCATTAGGCAATGGGGATTATGTAGGAAAATAAAGCATGAAGTACATTTCTATAATGATGAACAATGTTCTATATGTTTAAAATCGATGGGCACCTCATTTCTGGTTCAACCCTCGTATTCATATACGAACGTTTTTACCAAAGCGACGGCAACCCGACCAGTTGCTCAACTTTTTGCTTTCAATACCATCGCTATTCAGTTTGGATTGATGAAAGTTGTCATCTAACGTTTCGAAATGCATTAATAATCTCATAAATTTATATCTTTATTGCGATTTTATGCCCTTAAGTTAGTTATTTGGAGCAGAGAGTATTGAAAACCTTCCAGCAGAGCTTCACTTGATACAAGAAGAGCTACAAGCAAGTAAATAGTGTAGTATTGATCACCAGACTTGATTCCTAGGTATAATATGTTCAAGGTGTTACTTTCCGCAGATAGTCATTGCGCATTATACTTGAGTTTTTGGAAAATAAAAAATACCACATATATTGCTAATTGATCTAGATACATTTTATTTCTGAAATACGTTGCTTATACAATTTTTTTCATTTTTTTAAGAATAAAAATAGCATATTTATATTTTCTATTCTTGCTAGTAAGGTCATATCTGGTGTGAGACATTTTTCTACAAACGAGGCTGCCAGTCACTTAGTAGTTACTTTCAGTCAGAACGCAAAAGCAACGCAACTCTAAGCTCAAAATCGAAATGCTATCGGGTTGTTTTTAGTGAGAACAATGCCTAAGAGCCATTAGTAACAAACTAAACATGAGAAATGGCTGATTTCAATTTTTATCGATATGCTAAGCATTTTCTGTGATCTAAACTCCAAAACTCAAAAAACGTAGTTTGACGTCTAACATTTTTCGAATTCTGCTCATAATCTTGCCACGTTTAGACCGATTTTCAAAACGTACAAAGCTTTTTCGTCCTTGGCATGTTAGTAACCTTATTTCAAAATTTCATCAAAATTCGACCTCGCGTAATAGAATACAAAATTCTAAAAAGATTAACACGCAACTGTTTATGGAAGATACAACTGGAAAAATATTTTGAATGTAATTTAAAAAAAAACCGAAATTTTAAAATGCGGTACATCCATTACAGAGAGTAAGAGAAATGTTCCGGATTTTTGTGGTGCTCATTTTTGAGTTTTTCGAAATTCATATCTATGGGGCTAGACTAACTAGACTAACAGGCTGCACAAATGAAAAACCTTCCCTCGAAAAATATATGAGAATAATTACTGTCTTTAAGGGTGTTCTTTGCCGTGAATTTTAAGCAGTTTTTCGGGGCTGCTGCTTTGAAATAGATTTTAAGAGGTGCATAGCATAGCGGGCTACAAGAGACTCTGTGAAACACTCGCTTCGGTCTCTTCAGCTTTCGGTAATGATAAAAAAGAGCGAAAAAATACTGCGAGGACGGCCGCATTGGCGTGGTATGCATAACGGAAAACGGGAGCAAATGATTGCTAGTAAAGAATTAGTGTAATAGGAAATTGTGGGTAGGTTATATCTGTAATATCTGGGATCCAAGAAGAACAAAAAGAATTCCATATCAAGGATTTCTGCACGCCAAATAAAATTGTGGACTTTCGATCAGGAGGTCAATCTTTGAAAACGAGGGAATAGGATAACCAACAAAAAAGTTGGCGTAGCTTGGAGTTCAAAAGTTCAGTTAGACAAGGTAATTTATACTTCCAGATTTTTCGTGCCATTAAATGTTCCGTCACAAAATTAAACTCGTCTTTCAAGGTGAGACTTATTAAGTACAGCATTTTTTCTCTTGTTGTTTATCAAGAGACTGACCCGGGCAGCAACTTTTAAATCAAGGAGACGTTAAATAATACATACAGTTTCTCGAAAAGTAATAAAACACCGTATTTTAACCTCAGTTTTGCTCTACAAGGATATCGTTGCTGACATAAACCTTTCCCAAAAATCTACCGACTGCACTGACTTTTTACCTCGCAAATGATAAAACAAAAAACGCAGTCACGACCCTGCTTTCCGCCGGTCCTTTTATTTTTAGTTTTCCAGTCGAAAAAGTACAGGTGCAAATCTCTGCCGGGATTCGGTTTGAAAAGTCCTACCGCGTAGTGAGAAAATTAATCAGGTATTTTTCTTTAATCAAGTAACGGTGTAGTTTAAGAGTTGAATCTTGAATGTTTGCGGAACTTCAAATAGTAATTTAACAAAATGAGTTTCTTATATTAATATTTTCCCTCTCAAAAAAGTATATTATATATATATATATACAGGGTTTGTCCGGAAAGTAATAGGACTAAGTCGATTTAAAAAAAATTATTGAGCCAATCGTTACAATTCTTTAAAAACTTTCAAAATAGGCTCCTTCTGCGTCGATGCAGCGCTGCCAGCACGATTTCCAAGCACTGAAGGCTTCACGGAAGGCATTCTCTGGAATAGCGAATATCCAAGATATTTTAGTGTACATACCACTTTTGTCGAGTTTAATTTTTCAGGTAGGAAGAACGCGTTTCAATTTGACTCAAAGTAGCAGCACAACATTTTTAATGAACATATCTCGAAATAGAAATATTCGCGATTATCCCTCGCCTTGTGAAAAGTAAATATTCTTTCACAACAATATTCTGCATACAAGAGAAAAAATATAAACATAAAATAATATGTCGTAACCAGCTGCTTATGTATACACACGACCGGATAATAGGTATGGAATTAAATAAAAAATACAATTATGTCATCACATGTCGTCGGTTTTGTATTCAACTCAGCTGACCAGACTGCTATGCCAATGCCATCGAGGTTAATTTACGAAAGAGTCAAGGTGAAGGCCAAGGAGATTCGATCACAACTGGGGAATATCCGCGAAAAAATACTCTATAGACAGTTTCGTATCATTTACTTTTAGATTAAAATGTTTTGTCACGTAGCTACCATGCTATGTGGTTTTAATTATTATCAGACGGTTAAACACGATTAATTTTATCGATGCCATGTGTCGTTTTTCAATATTATACGATGCAGATTTGTTTGAAATTTTTTTTAAGAAGAACATATTTTTTAGATTGTTTTGGATCATTCTGACTAAATAAGGACTTTAGTAACTTTGCTATGAAGTTGACCGCTTTAAAATCCGAAAAACCATGAAAATGTCTACTATTTAAATATGTGTGATATCTTTGTTGAGCTGATATAAGAATTTCTAAAAAAAGGCAGCTAGTTTCAGATGTAAAATAATAAGCATTTTCTCAAATTGATTAGTTCCACAATAATTACTAGTTGTGAAATTAGACAAGCAGAAGAATCTAACATGGGTAATACCGGGAGAAGTAAACCATGAAAACCAGAAAACAAGCTATTGAATGGTAAGCTTCTATGATACTGATAGACAGGCATATTTATTCAGTTAATGTTGTTATAGCTTGCTTCACATGCCATATAATGTTCCCAATATCAAGCTTTCCAATGTTTGCGGAATAGGGGAGGGTAAACCTTTTTAGGATTTTACCTAAAATATTTAAACCTAAATATGTTTA